GTGTGGGGGGGGCTTTGCCCCCCACGGCCCTGTGATGTATTCACAGTTTTAGCACCCATAATCGTTTTAGAGATCTAGTTGCACCTATGGTAGGTACTTATATTTGTATATTATAATTAAATCAATGATGAAATCCAATAAAATAATTGTTAGATATGTATTTTTTAACGTAAATGATCCACAACTCTACTTAATATTATTTATTAGAATATAATTTCTTGATTACACAATATATAAATATATTATTCAATTAATAGTAAGAATACAATATTTAATCAAACCRTTATTGTATTTTACCATTTTAGTAGACARTAGTTACCTTATACCTAGTCCTAGTGAGGTGTATTTRCCATTTGGTATATCATATGAATGTCAAAAGTAAAATAATGCAACCAAAAACTAAGCTTTTCAACATTCATACTTTAACTATCATTATAATAAAACCATGATCATTTATCAAACATTTCAAAACACAATACTTTCAAGTTTCAAAGAAAGCAGTTTGAAACTATGAAAGCTAGAATGTGAAAAATAATTATCGACGACAACTGACAAGGGACAGACTCGAGACATAAAATACGACAGTAAAAAATGTGTTCCAAACGGCAAACACTGTGAGCCTGTGAACGAGTGTCGAGTGAACACCAATTAAAATAAACAAATTAATAATAACTCGAAATTGTTTTGCCCAAACGTGACGTCATATCATTAAACATGATGGCTACATAATTGTGCCTATACAAGCATAATATGATAAGGCACGTCTATTAGCTTATATGGTCGAAGATTGAATGGACTCGTGTAGAGATTATTTTTAGGCTCTAGACATGATAATACTAGATGCACGATACCGTCGATAACATAGATATTGTTTTTATAAAGCTATAAAAATCCCGGAGAAATAMTTTGTGCTGTACATACCTATTATTATTTTATAACGATTAACGAATATTAGACAGTAGTCAGAGTTGATGGTACTGAAATAAAAGAACGAGGGTTCGGAATTGATCTAACCAACAATCCGAGTACTATTCTTTATTACTAAAGATTTGAACGAATTGTTTGAGTTTTCGAAATTAATTTTATGGTTATAATTTCTTATTAAAAAGGCAATAAATATAAAAATAAAGAAAACTTACAACTAGGTACCACCTCATTTTGCTATACAATTTTTTTAGGACTTCATACCCCCCTCCTAACGTCCTAACGTAAAGAGCTAGTTACGTCTATGGTCGGGAATATAATGAAAGAAATGCTAGCTAACAGTAAGCCGGATAAACCAAAAAATGAAGAAAAAAATTAAGTTACGTTCTTCTTCGTAGGAGTTATTATTGTTGATATGACAATGTTTGGTGATTTTATCTAGAATAGTTAGTTTTTAAATAATTAAATCAAATGAACAAAATGACCAAAATAATTATCTACGGACGAACCKTTGTTTTATTTGTCTTTTTTCCGTTAACAGGTACGGTGTCGATGCCATTCTACTGCGTGTACATACTGCAGGGGTACTGGGACCTGGGACCGTTGYTGTGCGACCTGTGGCTGTCCGTCGACTACACCGTGTGCCTGGTGTCGCAGTACACAGTACTGTTGATCACGGTCGACCGGTTCTGTTCGGTGAAGATCGCCGCTCGGTACCGGGGCTGGCGGACCAAAGACAAGGTTATGTGGATGGTCGTGCTCACGTGGATCATCCCGGCGCTGTTGTTCTTCACCAGCATATTCGGATGGGAACACTTTGTCGGCTACAGGGACCTGTTGCCGGGCCAATGCGCAGTGCAGTTCCTCAAGGATCCCGTGTTCAACACGGCCCTGATCATCGGCTACTTCTGGACTACACTCATCGTGCTGTTCGTGCTGTACGGTGGCATCTACAAGGTGGCGTACGAGATGCAAAARAAAAGTGAGGCGAAACAGCGCAAGATGCAGTCGATGGTGGCGCTGAGTGCTGGCACCGTATCCGGTATGGCCGGTCACGCGGCCGGCATCGGCATGTCAAAGACTCAGAGCACTCTACTCGTGCACGACAAGCCGCAGCAGCAGCAACAACAACAACAACAACAACAACAACAGAACCAGCAACAGCAGCATCAACAACAGCAACAGAATCAAAACCAACAACGACAGATGGCGGCCGACAGTAATACATCGTCCGGTTTCGATGAGAACGCAGCGGAGGCGGCGGCCTGCCGGAACACAAGCCCGAACGATCGCAACGCTACGGCCGTGGTGGTGGTGGACAAGGAACGATCGAGCAGTCCGGCATTTGAGTCGGACGAGGAGAGCACGACAGGCGAGAAGCAACAGCAGATCAACTGGCCGCGCAAAAAATCTGTGGCCGAACTGATCGTCCAGTCGGCGCTCGTGCAGCGGTCCAACAGCGGCATACACCTGTCGCCGTCCGACAACCTCATACCGTATACCAACACGTCCGGTAATAACAACAACAACGGTAGTAAGATCGTCCGGTCGTTTTCAAATGTGGCCGTCGTCAATTGTGGACGGCAGACGGAAGCGCGACGCCAGACGCCACCCGGCACGCCTTCGCCACCAGACAGCCGGGTGGACGCGCTCGTTGGTATGGACACAAGTGAACTACACTTCATGGACGACAGTTCCATCGTCATTGGGTCGCCGACGTTCGAGAGTCCGACCAACAGCACCAGTTCAATAAACGAGACGATGTCTTCGGCCCAGTGTTCTCCGGCCCACGGTGCCGCGGCCTCGTCTTCGCTGTTACAGGCCGCGCTCATCCGGGCGGCTGCTGCTCAGCAGATGAGCCAGTCGCATGGCCCCGCCGTCACCAAGGTCAACACGGCCGTCGTGGTAGACGGCCGCCATCGTGGTTCCGCGTCGGTCACGAATACCACGACCGTGGTGGTGACCGAGCGTGGCCGTGGTGCTACAGGTAATGGCGATGACGACGACGACGGCGACGATGACGGTGACGACTGTGACGCGGCCGCCACCGGGACCGGTGAAAAATCGTCGTCCGATACGACCAAGAGCGGCGGTGGTGGTGGCGGGGGCGGTGGCGGAGACAGTGGGGACAAGCGTGAGGGCAGTTCTCGCGGTGACTTCGTCCGGACCATCGGCAAGCGTCTAAAGGTGAAACGACCC